CCGCCTCTAGCAACACCCCCCCGCCGACCTCCTCCACTCCTACCACCTCTACCTCCATATCCACCAACCCTTCAATCCCCACCATCGTTCCGTTCCCTCCACCTCCTCCCTCATCCGGCGCATCCAGAACACCGCCTCATTCCTCGCCCATCCATGTCACCCCTCCCCCCCCCGCACTCCCAAACCCTCTCCCAACCCATCATGACCACCTCCACCATCCCCACCATCCGTCCCACCTATTCCCAAGCCACCTCGGGGGTTTACCCCGCAATGCCACAACTCCCCCCCAACCACCTCCTTGAGGACAACAACCAAATCGACCACACCTGCTACGACACCACCCCCGATAACCTCAGCTTCAACACCCTCTCGCAGATCGTTCACCGCGACGGGGAAATCCCCCGTTCCTTCCGATCCGGCGAAATCATGTCCTTCTCCGGCCTCCCCCACGAGGACGTTTTCCTCTTCCTGACCCAGCTCCAAAACTCTTTTCACCTCCACCATATGCCCCTTGCCCACTGGCTCCCCATTGCCACCTCCCGCCTCCTCGGCAATGCCGCCAAATGGTGGATGGCTGAAGTGAGCAACCGCCGAGCCTCTGGAGTACCACGTCACTCCTTCCTCCAATGGGCCAAACTTCTCGCTGCCACCTTCCGCCCCCAGAAAACCATTGACGACAACCTCGAACAATTCTGCCACCTCCGCCAAACCGGTCCCACAGACCGCTTCGTCCAATACATCCGCTCCGTCCGCCATCACCTCCCCACCACCGTCATTCCCGACTTTGCGTTCATCTCCCGCATCAAGCGAGTATGCCACAAAGATCTTGCCACCGCCCTCGCCCACGAACCCGACATGCCCCTTGCTGACCTCCTCTGTCGCATGCTTCACCACGATCGACTCCTCCACCCCCATCACCAGTCCGCGCCCGCTCCCTCCCGCCCCCTCTTTTTCCATAACRACACCACTCAACCCACCTCCGATGACGACTTCGACACTGCCTYTCTCGACCCCTCCCAATTCACCATCGAGGACCTCCAGACCGCCCACCTTATACGGATGGAACGCCAGGATYGTGCCTCTCGACCGCCTTCTTCCTCTCCACCCCGCCGCCTCCAGAAACTCACACCTGCAGAAYGCATATACCTCCAGGAACACAACGGGTGTTTTCGTTGCCGCCAGTTAGGTCATCAACAGACCAACTGCCCCAACGCTAGCCACTTTACTCGACAGGCCCCTCGCTCCACGGGACCCGGCCCTTCTACTCCCACTCCTCCCTACACCTGAACATTGTCCACCCAGTCTTCCATGTCGAGTACCTAAAAGAATACCATGAATCTCCGCTCCAGTTCGCCGACCGCTCATATCCTAGACCTCCACCAATCATGCTACCCACAGGCCCTGAATTCGTTGTCGAAACCATCATCGGCCGACGAACCACTCAGGTATCTGATCATCCGGAACCAATCACTGAATACAAAGTCAAATGGACCGGATACCCCGACGAAGAATCTACATGGGAACCTCTCGCTAATCTTAAGAACGCCATGAAACTTGTCCGCGCCTATGATCGTGTTAATCCTACGTCCTAGATACCTATACCACTATGGCATAAACCCCCGCTAAAAACCCTTGCAACCCTGCTCTACACAC